TATTTAATTGATATGATTGCTTCTTGTAATGGATCATTGCATGTAAGTACTTGAACTATAAAGCAAAAATTAACCGATGAGAATTCTGTCTCATTGTGACACAAGAGATTATGTTACATCTCCAAAGGAAGAATTGAGAGACTTGTGTCTAACGGAATTCTCGATCCCCTTGATTTTACAAATTATGACATGTGTGTTAACGGTACAAAGGAAAAACAAACCAATAAAAGGAAATCTCAAGCCAACAAGACTTTACGTCTAAGAACTTATACATACAGACATTGTGAACCATTCCCTATGGCTTCTTGGAATGGTCAACCATATTTTATATCATTCATAGACGATTACTCACGTTATGGGTACCTATATCTTATTCNATAGACAACTTTTCAAGATATGGCTGTATATATATATCTCATTTATAAAAAATCACAATCACTGGATGAGTTCAAAAACTATAAAGCTGAAGTTGAGAACTAACTCGGCAAAAGGATTAGAATCGTTAGATTTGACCATGATGGTGAATACTATGGCAAATATGACGGTTCGGGTGTACAACGTTCAGGACCATTTGCTAAATTTCTAGAGGAATGCGATATCGTCCTGCAGTACACAATATTGAGTTTGCGCACTATGAATGATATTGCTGAAAAATGAAATAAAACACTTAAGGACATGGTAAATAGTATGATTACTCATTCTACTTTGTCAGAATTACTCTAAGGTAAAACATTAAAGACCACAACGTATATACTCAACAAAGTTTCAACTATGGCCACTGATAAAATCCCTTATAAGTTTTGGACAGGTAAGATTCCTAGTTTGAAGCACGTACACATTTGGGGATGTCCAGCTGAGATAAGACTTTATAGGCCAAATGAAAAGAAACTGGATGCAAAGACTATCAGTTTCTATTTTATTGGACATTCTGAAAGGTTCGAGGGTTACAAGTTTTATGATCTCTCAACTAAGGTAATTTTTTAGACAAAAAATGCCTGAGGATGTTGAGTTTCAGGGAGAGAAAGGGTTACAGACTTTGTCTTTGAAAAGAATACATTAAAATTTCTCCAATTGCCATTGACAATGATCAAGATCAGGTTTCTATCCCTGACATTGTTCAAGAGGCAACTTCGGATCAAGACAATGTCGTTGTATCTCCATTTAAAGGTCAACAAGTTGTTCTAGAAGAACAAACTCTACGGCCTCAAGAACCAATGCCATTAAGAAGATTCAC